TCCGTCTTAGTCCGCTGTGAATAGGACACATTAGAATTCCAAACTGATCTAGTTCAATATGAGATCGTTCTATATTGAACTACATTCCAATTTTTACTCCGACATATATTTTTTTATCTCTATAGGGCAATGGGTATATTTATACAAGCAAGAACAGTGCTTGAGTTGAAAATAATCTTTTATTGGTTGTTTGAATTTGTTTTTGTTCTATATCAATAAAAGGAATATTGACGAAAGATAAATATCTTGACCAATCTATGATTATGTGATGCTTGAGAAAGAGATTGATCAAGGTCAAACATTGAGCGATCAAGGAAAAGAAAAAGAGAAGGAGAAAAAGAGAGTAGATGATATATATAAAAACAGCGTAAATTTATTCATTCATTCATTCATTCAGAGAAGAAACTGAGCAAAATGCAGCACTATCTCACTTTCATGATCTTTAGCATGTGCTATTTATTTATTAATGCACAAACAAGCAATACTACAGTGGTTGTTGCAACTACTACTACTACTACTGTGAAACCTGTTGTGGTTGTTGCAACTACTCCTGCTGTTAAACCTGCTGAAGTTGTGGCAACTACTACTGCTGTTAAACCTGTTGAAGTTGTGGCAACTACTGTAGTTGTTAAACCTGTTGAGGTTGTCGAAACTTCTACTGTTATGAAAGTTTCACATGCGGTGGAAATAACAGATGGACCTACTACTATGAAATGGATGGACACAGATGACACTACTGCTCCAGTAATTGCATATACAGGATTAACACCAGGTTTTGGACATAGACCACATGCATATCGATATATTGGACCATATGTTGAACCACCACCACATCCACTTGGCTATTGTATCCGTGGTGTTTTACGTTGTTCCAGAATGATTCCTTGTTGCAACGGACGATGTAATGTTACTAGAATGCATTGCCCAGAAAATCAAAATGTACAATCTTAAGAACAGAGTTTAGTTCATTTTTCTTTCATGTTTGAAAGTAGTTGTTCATTTGAAATGTTCATAATTGTTTTTTTTTGTTGATTAAATAATAAATGTTAAATAAGCTGTCTCATTCTTTATAAGATCATAATTGTTCTTTCATATACTCGGCTTAATCTTAGATATACGAATAGAAAATAATGACTTGAACTATATATAACTGAATTAATTGTAAAAAAAAGATGAACTCAACAAAGATTTTTGCATATTCTTCAAATAATATTAAAATGATTGTTAACCATTATCATAGAAAAATATTATCATAAAGTTGCTATTTGATTTATTTATGAGAACAAAATACATCTGGAGTTACAAAAATATCGCCATATTTGACAATAAAAGCTCCATTATAGATTTTATCTGATCTATTTTCTACTGTATAATGAAATGAACATTTTGTCACAACTATGCAACAGACAAAAGAAACAAAAAGAATAATTCAAATCAAATCGAGACTTCTAAGATAATGTATATCGATGTTGTAAAAATAATTGTGTTTTCCATTATTTCAATATTTATAATTGATCATGAAGGTTTCGAAGACTTCTCTATAACCTGTAACATTCTATTTCCTGTCAATCTTGTAAAATTCATTGATTTGACAGATTTCACATTTGTATGACGTATATTAAGCTGAAACTTAAGGAAAAAAATGTGAGTCTTCAATATCACTTTATGATGAATATACCTTCAGTAATAAGCTATCATTTAAGCCTATAAAAGAATTTCGAAAATATGACAGACTGAACTGTACAATCAATAATATTCTAAATAAAGATCTCGGATATGAAAAGATGCGTTGAATATATTTATTTTATTGACTCTTATTCTAATCGATCACGTTATATAGAGTCATATGGTTACTTCCTCAATGTTTGATGACTGGCGACCTCTACGTTAAATTAATTCTATTCCTGTATTTTATTACCAGTATATTATAAACAAAGAACAATATTGATTTATTTTATTAGTATACAAAATATTTTCTATACGATAATGACAACTCGAACATCAACTCGATCGACAAAAGCTGTTAAATTTATTGATTCAACTGAATACGATGATGAAGATTTAGATAAAATCACTCCACCTCAAAACAAAACTGAAGAGAAAAAACCACGAGGTCGACCACCTAATTCTTCTCGTAATCAAACAAATCATGATGAAGAATGGGATGCAAGAAACGAACAACACGTTAGTGATGATGATGAAAGAAGTGATACTGAACAAAATCCTACAAAAAAATTTCAAGCTAATAGATCAGTTGGTTCAGTTTATGATTTTAAGTAAATGACAAATTCTTTTTCTTATATTATAAAATATGAATTTTTGTTTTTTATTCCAATTCAAGTCCAACATCAAGAAAATGGACGAAATCAACAATACAAAAAAATAGTTCCGTATCAAAAACAAATGCAAATGACAATAAATCAATAGAGAAATTGATGTGTCAATACTGGTAAAATCTTTCTAATACAAAAAATTCATTTATCATCTGAAATTTATTTTTAGTAATTATACAACAGCGAAAAAATATCTTCTTCAGAGACATTTAAAATCTCATTCAACTGAACGACCACATAAATGTAAAAATTCGAAAATTCTAGTTTTTATTTAACTTTTTGTTTTTCTAGGTGCATATTGTGATCGATCATTTAAAACAACTATTCAATTAACAAATCATGTTAATACACATCTTGGTGTTAAACCATTTCAAGTAAAAAGATTTTGTTTAGAAGAAAAAACGAAATAAATTAATAATTATTTCTAGTGCAAATTTTGTGCATTTTCATTTACAACAAGTGGAGAATTAATTCGACATGTTCGATATAAGTAATATATAAAAAAAACTCTATATTTATCTTATTTATGTTATTCTATTAGACATACACTTGAAAAACCACATCGATGTGATGAATGTGGTTATGCAACAGTTGAATTAAGTAAATTACGACGACATATTCGCACACACACAGGGGTATGAAAATCGTTATTGTTTACTTTTCGATTTTTATTCTATATTTATATATACATAGGAAAAACCATATGCATGTCCACATTGTTCATATTGTAGTCCGGATACATTTAAGCTTAAAAGGCATTTACGTGTACATACCGGTAAGATGAATAGAATATCAGTTTGATTATTTATTGAATTATTTTCTAGGTGAAAGACCGTATCAATGCACAATTTGTAGCTTTCGATTTACTCAAAGTAATAGGTAAGTTTGTTGATAATGATTAAAATTTCAACTAACCTAATCTCCTTCTTATAAATTTCTTCACCATTTAATTATTCTTTCAATTTAGCTTAAAAGCTCATATGTTAACTCATCAGGCTGAAAAACCTTCATATCCTTGTTCGTATTGTCCATCTGTTATGGCTCGAAAATCTGATCTTCGTTATCATATTAACAAACAACATGCTCCTCAATCTGAACCTTTACCATGTAATAAATGCGATGAAGATTTTCCTGACAAGTATGTTCAATCTTTTACTAATTACCTTCAAAAACATATTGTTAATTTTAGATATACATTACGTATGCATGGGAAAACTCATAAAGGTCAAACAATTTATTCATGTACACATTGTGAATTTTCCGCAAATACAAGTCAACAATTAGAAGATCATATGAATACACATCGTGGTACACGTCCATTTCAATGTAGTGAATGTGGTTTAATGTTTGCTGCTCGTGCTGATTTACGTGCACATGTTACACGTACACATCGAAATACATCAACAACAACAACAACAACAATGAATCGTCGTCCACAACGACGTGCTGCATCATTAAATCATCGATATATTGGCGTCGATGATGATGAAATTGGTAACGAACAAAATAATAATAATAATAACGATGATGATAATTATCATTGTTCAATATGTCAGAGACAATTTACATCAGCTAGATTATTAAATCGACATATATCAGCTGTACATGAAGTAAAACATAATTTATATGATGAAAGAAATTATCAAACAAATGAAATGGAGAGAGAAAACAATAATAATAATAATAATTATGATGATGATATTCATGATTATGCTGATGATGAACTTGAAGGTAATAATAATGATCAAATAAATCTTATTAATGAAAATCTTATTGAAAAAAATCATGATGATAATGAAGATGAAGATGATTTAGCACCAATTGTTGAAGATATTATGGATGGTGATGATGATTTTGAACAAATACCAACAATTAAATCAGTATCATCTGCTGATCAAAAAAAACGACAAACTATTGAACAAAAAGATGTATCAAATATAAAAAAATATAATATTGATAGAAGTATGTAAATTAAATAAGAATTGTTTGTTTAATTCTTGCTTTTTGTACCTTAAAGATTTAATTTTATCCAATGAAGATGAAAAGATCGATTATGATGTATTTGGTTTTAATGGATAATTTCTTCTGTTTTGTTCTCCTTAGAGATTTATATTTTCCATGTCTATTCATTTATTATTATTATTATTTTTTGTCTGTCTTGTTTTTTAATAGTTATATTTATCTCACCGTATTTGTTTTATAACGCAATATTCTGCGTTGAGAAACTTTATTTCTTTTATTTGAGATATAATATATAGTATTGTATTTGAGAGTTAAATCTTTTCGTTTTTTTCTTTTTGTTTTAAGTATAAATATCGATAGAGGATGAAATTATTCATAGATTAAAAATATTTTATTTATTTAGAAAATAACTATTGTGATATATTATGTCAAAATTAATATATACGAAGTAATACAAAACAAATTTCTTAATTTTCTTCGCATTTCAGATGGCTGGAATAAAACTTTTTAGTATCACTAACATTACCATAGCTATATTTATTATTTATATATCTTATACAGCCAATACATTTTATGCTATGTTTCGTCCACCTACATGTAAAAGTAATAATTGTCTTTCACCACATTTTAAATCATCATTAAATAAAAAATTGAAAGTAAATTAATCGAAATATTGAATTTTATTTGTAATGAAAAAAACAAATGTCTTTAATTCATAGTTATATAGTTGTTTATCAACAACTTCAAATCAACCTCGTTCAATGACAGATTCGAAATGTGTAACCATGTTAAATATAAATAATTTTACAATAAATCAATCATTTGATGAGTAAAATTTTTTAAAATAAAAATTTCAATTCTTTAATGAATTTGTTTACTTTTTATTAATAGAACAATACATATTCCATTAGTAAAACAATTTCGACAAAATACAACATTTTATATACATTTTTATCTTTATCATGGTGTTGATCCATTTCAAGATCAAGCACGTATATATCGACATAGATTAATATCAAAATATCTTATTCCAGAACAGAATTTTATGAATCTTTTACAAGAAAAACTTCCTTCAAGTTTAACTGGTGTTAAAGAAGAAGAACAAGTTCGTTTTGAATAAATTAATTCTTAAGAATCCAATACGATAATTGTATGTTTGGTTTTTAGAAAAAAACGATGAATAATTCTTCAACTATACCTGTAACACATATTTTAAAAAAAATTATATTCCATGGTGTTGATCAGGATATTTCATTTGATAGAATGGAAATCCCACAAGAACTTTATCATTTAATAACGTAAGAAACATTATTTTATTTATTGCTTATTTATAGTTTATAATTCATTAGTCTATACTCTCAAACAACATATGGACCTTTAATTAGTTCAGATGAACTAACTACTCGTCTTCGTGATTATCAGGTACGAGCAAAAATATTATTTGTATCTAGTTTAACATATCTATTCACAACAGGATTTTTATTTATATTAATATATTCATATAGTCTCTGTTGGATCTATGATTTGATTAAATAGTTCACTGGATTATTCTTTATTTGATTGCTAAAGGCAGATATGTTAATTCATATTGAATTTGAATACATATATAAATTTTTCAAATAATTTGCACTAAAGTAACATATGAGAGATATAATT